GTTTCAAGTACAGCTAAGTTTAGGTAGCAAATGGTTAATATAGGAAAAGTTTATGTATTTTGAGACGTTTACATATAGTTTGTTTTTTCGGTATATATATTTTTTTAAAAATTAAAAGTTAATAGGATTTTTTTTTGCCTTGTCTGTCAGATGTCACCAGCCTCCATTGCTCTGCCACCATTCAGGGCAATGCAACAAGGGGCCCAACACACATAAGAGAAATAGGCTTGTAGGGGGATGGGCACTAAGTGCAGCATAAGGGGTGGAAAACCAAGGCCCAGGGCTGAAAAAGGAGCCTGCAGAGAAACAAGCAGAGCAAACACCAGCTCTGGCAAGCGTTGGGCACCTCTGTGCAAGGCCTCACATACCACTGGGAGGAGGGAAAAGGCAGCTTCTTCCCCTGGCTATGTTACAATGCAATGTTTTGCATGGGAAAGACACACCACAGGGTACAGCTACCTTATGCAGTTTTTACCCCTCTCTCTTGCGCAAGGCACTCCATAAAATTCTCCTCCCAGAATGGTTAACAGCCCAGTATTTCATAGCACTTCAGCTTATCAGTCGGTGCTCTAAGGTCAGCCACTATTCTGCCAGATAGCTATTGCTACAGGCTGTTTCCTACCAAGCCCATACATCTGTGATTTATTAGTTATCTGTAACTGCTACTCAGGGAAGCAGAATTAAACCCACATTGCAATGTTATTGGTCATTTAAACTACAGACAATTAAAAATATGAACATTTACTAGACACCATGTTATAAAAACACCAACATAGCCAATTAAAAAACAAACAAATAGAATCAACTGTCACTCTGAAACCAGGGCTGAGACATAACCAGGTGAGTGTTTTTCTGCCTGTAGGTGATTGAAAACCATGGGACAAATCTTGAAATAGCAACTTGCAGGAAGAAACATTTCTGACCCAGGGTCTTGAAATTTCCCCTACCCCTTTACTGCTCTTGCCTCCCCTGTGCCCCTCACCCACCCCCCCAAGCATGGGAATCACTTCTATAGTGCATTCAGTACACCAAGGTTACATTTCTAGTTATATGCGACAGTTTGTATCCTCAGTGAGCAGGTAATTATGTAACACATTCAACGTTTAAGTGATGTCAGAGTACTTGCCATGAACTGGGGCACACAGGCCCTTCAGGTCTGTCTTTGTCGAGGCCGCCATCAAAATCCCAAGAGAGCATTTCTCAGTAATCTCTCAAGGGAGTAGTATATAGGTTATTAAGGAAATACAAAAGTCCAAGAGGGTAAACTGTTGTTTTTTTTGCCATACACAGCAAGGACAAGCTCTCACCAAACTGAACAGCTTTATTGCTGTGGCCTTATATAGCTGACTCAGCTATCCCAGAATCCCCTGCTAACTCAAACTGCTGGTTCATGCCTATCCCTACCTAGTGCTATGGAACATCAAACTGAAGCCCCTACTGATGATAAGAAACAAAACCCCCTGAGGACTCTCCATTACCAAAACATACAGAATCTGTAGCTAGTGAGAGTGTGCTGGATTAACACTGAAGGTAAAGAGACTCACACATCCACTGATTACATCATTCATATAGGAATGGAAAGAAGGAAAACCCTAGCATAAACAGCAACATATTTTAACACACAGTGCTTTGGCCCCAGGTAAGACTTTCTCATAGCATTCTCCCTCTAGTGACAGCCTCCTCTTCCTTGCAACTTTAAGAAGAAAAAGAAACATGACCTTCAGTCATGCTTGAGTGTCGACATGGTAGTGCCCAGAAAGGGACTGCTTGGGAACAACCAAACTCTTTCTTCTAATTATTTTTTAATATTTATGTTAAGGTAGAGCCCAAAGGCCCCAACCAGAATCACGACCCCATTGTGTTAGGTGCTGGACAAACACAGGGTTAGATGTGGTCTGTGTCCCAAACAGGTTTCAGTCCAACCCCCCAGTCTCTTACCAGTCAGTGGAAGTGGTACTCCACTGAAGGGATACTCAGATCTAGCAAATGCAATGAGTTCAAGTCAAGACACACATTTCCCTTGTGTTCAGCAGCACTGTATTCCCGAATTATTTGGCATCTTCATTTATGGAAAATCAGGCCGAGAGTCGTGTATTGTAGACCAGTATAACTGAAACCATCTGTAGTCGTGGGCTGTAGTCCACGAAAGCTTATGCTCTAATAAATTTGTTAGTCTCTAAGGTGCCACAAGTACTCCTGTTCTTTTTGTGAAACCATCTGACAAGCCATGTGCTTGGGCAATAAGAGGCAGAGAGGGTGATGCTGCAATAGTATAATCAAAGGCATAGCTCCCTTGAACTCCGAATTAACTTTATTGCCAATCTCTGAACAGTTTTCTAATGCTCTGGGACTTACTCTTTGTACTGGCTGTTTGGGGTGGGAGGCACCATCACAGCCTAACTTTAAACAGAGGGTGGGAGGAGAGACACAAGAGCCTCCGAGGCAGGACAGAAAGAGCAGAGAGAGGATGCTGACAGCAGAGACAGAGCACAAAAATGGGGGGTGGGGCCTGGCCATGTAGGGAGAAAGGTGGGGTTTTATTTGCCTTGCTGGAGAGACGCAACTGTAATATCATGGTGTAACTATCTCCCTCGGTCTAATGTTTGTACAGCTGATCCAGCACTTGTCAAAAATAAACTGCCCACTTGAAGCCGGGATGGAGCTTAACGAAGAATGGAAGGACTGCAGTTAAAACGACTGAAATGCACTTCAGTCCAGTGATCAGAAAGCAAGTGACAAGCAAGCGAGTGAGAGAGAGAGAGGATGAGCTGAAACAGTCAGTGCCAGGAAAAGAGAACTGAAGCAACCACCGTTGTTGGGAATAGAGAAGTCCCTGGGCCCGATTCTGATGTTTCTTAGCCAAATTTGAATCAGCATCAGTGGGTGAGTTGGAGGGCAAGCCCGCCCCACGCTGACCTCACATCAATGGCTACTGTCCTGCAGGGCTGGGCCTGGTTCCCTGCGTCAGGCGTTATGACCCACTGCACAGGGTTGCAGTGCCTCACGGGTTTGGCCTAGCTGTTCCATGCCCAATTTGAGTGAGTGGCCAGACGTGAGTGGTGCTGTGACCCCCATGCACCAGACTGCAATGCTACTCATTCAAATTTGGCCCAGCTGCCTCTCTGTCATGAGGAAGAGGTGGCTCACTCTCCATCCAGCATCCCATGGCCTCCTCTCTGCACTGGGACCAGGACCCTGTAGAACCTTCCTGCAACCCACTGTTTGGAAATCACTGACTTGGACGACTCTTTGTGCCTTCCCATCCCTACAGTCTTCCATAACACAGATCTTCCAAACGACTGCAGGCCCCTTTCTCACACCCGAATCATTTAAACATGTTAGTAAAATGTACAGAAGAAGTGACAAGATCACTGAACTTATATTCACCTTTGAGAAGCCTGGGAAATGCTAACCACAAACGTGAAGCGTACATCTCTAAAGCCACAACCTCTCTCATCAGCAGTCATGTCATTTTATTTGAGCTTATTACATTACAGAAAAGAAGAAGTGAAAAGCTCAAAGGTCCATTTTAACACAGATTGAAATATAATCTCCCTCCAGGTTCACAGTTTGTTAGTTAGGCCTTTTGTTCATTCCTATGTGATATTTAGATCCAGGGGAACTCTCAGATAATGTGAATGAATCCAATGTGCAAGGGACGAATAAATCCATCCCAGCAGTTTTAACATGACAGATGGTCAGAACATTTTTGAAGAGTTCAAAACTTCAGTGAAAACATGGGGAAAAAATTTGTGGAATTTGTTGTCAAATTCTAATTAGCATGTCTAGTTTCACCTTTAAAATGGAGTTGTCATATTTTTATACACTCATATAGCAGTTTTCATCTACCAAGTGCTTTGCGAACATTAGCTAAGTATGAAGAAGCATAGTCTATTGGTTAGGGCTACGTCTACACTACCACTTATGTCGGTATAACGTATGTCGCTCAGGGGTGTGAATAAGTCACCCTGAGAGACATACGTTTTACACTGACCTAGGCTTCTCCTACTGACATAGCTGCCGTTGCTCGTTGGGGGTGGATTAATTAAGAACATAAGAACATAAGAAAGGCCGTACCGGGTCAGACCAAAGGTCCATCTAGCCCAGTATCCTGTCTACCGACAGTGGCCAAAGCCAAGCGGCCCAAAGGGAGTGAACCAACCAGGCAATGAT